AACGAGATGAGTAACTAAATCACAACTGTTAGTACCAATATCATGGGTAAGTTGTGCACTTACTCTTAGTAAGAAGGGCAAGTGTTCTTAGTACCAACGTCATCGGTAAGTAACGAACTTTTTCTTAGTACCAACAACATGGGTAGGTAACAGAGGTACGTTTTGTACCAACCATATAGGGTAAATAATGCACTCACAATCAGTACCAACCACGTGACAAAATAACGCAGTTATGCTTAGTACCAAGCACATGGGTAAGTAAGTCGAACTAACCACATCCGAAGGCTGCCTATACGGTGTGGTTCAGGCTTCTCGACCGGGACGTCCACCACGTCGCTGTTGGTGAACTCCTCTCCCTCCTACAACTCCCCTTCGTCGATGCCGGCTTCACTGCCCTCCCCGGCCTATTGCACTCGAGTCGGCTGCTCGGCCATTTTTTCCCCTGTCGTCGCCTTTTCTGCCGAATGCCCATTCGCCGACAGCTCTCTAGTTGGCAGCTCCGATACCAATGACTCCTCTCTAGATGACTCCCATACTGGCAGCTTCACCTCCCGCTTCTCCTCAGTTGTTGACAGCTTCGCTGATGCGTAGACTTGCGTGATGCGACGTCGTTAGCTGGGCGATGCCACTGGCGTTGCCACAGAAGATGCAGCAAAGTTTCCCTCATTGTCGGAGGCCGACGCCGGCGTCTGCCCATGCAGGTCGGCTACATCGAGAACAGGGGGAAGAAGGGAATGTGGGCATCCTGGACGTTCTTGTTATCAGGCTCTCTTCGAGGTCACCTCCAAGGGTCCCTGGGTGCCTGGTACAAGACCAGCCCCTATCCTCGGGTCCGAGCTTGTAGAGAAAGGGATCAATAATGACTTGTACGTCGCGCACCGGGCCGTGCAGACCGTCGATCGGATTAAGCCAAGAATTCTCTATATTCAAGCTTGCTCTAAGAGCTTAAAAAGAGCCAAATTGCCCTGCAAAAAGTTCTGCCATATGAAGTTATGGCTTGAACAGCGTTGGCACTAGCGTACTAGTGTTGACTCGGGTAGCATTTTGCGGTCGAACCGTGTAGAAACGAAATTCAAGCAAGGAAGGAATGCTTGAATTAATTGACTATATCCAGGTACAAACAGAGAAGGAATAAATAGTTATAGCTAGCAAGGACCTTTGAAATCAACCTGAGAACAAATGTGGATGATCCCAAATAATTTCAAGCAACAGAACCAACCTGGCCGGACAAAATAGCAGGTGGTAGGTTGCTAAAGAACCTCTGATTCTGATTTTCCAACCTAGGAACACAACCACCAGGTTCGAGTTCTAAAAAAATGACCTTTTTTGCCCTTCCCCAAGCAGCCAAATTCTGGTTCTGCTTGTTTCCCCTAGTTCTGTAGCAAGCAAAAACAGACAAAGAACATCCAACCTTCCCCTAGATTGTACCTCTACAGTGCCTGCCCTGCTATAAAACAGTACAGAATAAAACATAATCTGCGCAAAAAATGAAACCGAACCACAAAGCTTCCGTCTTGGGTTCCTTTGCGAGCTCGTCCTTTCTGCTTGCACTGTTCATAGTGCATACAATGTTGTGCTGAAGCGCACATTGCGCGATTACCTGCAAATGCTTCAAGCGAAGCGAAATTGCGAAAACAAACAAAGATCTGAACAGACCATTTATACGCAAATGCATCCGCACCCGCATACTCGTACAAATAGATTGCAGGATGTCGTGCAAAGTGAATTTGCACCCATTAATGACCTGGTACGTTGACGTGATAAACTGCCATGCTTGGTGGTCGGCGTCCAATCAGCTCGTACATGACTTTAAGACGATTTGTACGCCCGGTGAGCAGCAGCGGGAAATGACCCGGTCAGCAACTGCACAGCGCGGAACTCTGCATGTAGCTTGGCGTTGCTCGCAGCCGGAGTCTTCATGGTGCCGTCGACGAAGCACATCACCCCGGCCATCTCCAGCTGAGGCTTGATAAATTCTTCCATATGAGAAGGTCGTGCGGCGCCGTGATGGTGACCTTGTCTGGCGGGAACTTGAAGTATCCGTAGGTCGGTGCGAACCATTTTGCAGTCAAGTGTGTCATGGACGCCGACGTTACGCTGCTTCGACGTCCTCCGACGTCTCCTTGAGAGAAGCCTGCAGCCGCTGACGACTTTAGCCCTCGCGGCTGAATGCCGCCAACTTCAGTGGCGTGTATCACCCTTCTCTGCCTCAATGTGCCTTGCGTGCTACTACCGACTTGGTCACCGACGTTGACGCCGCCTTCGTTGCTCACCAGTCAAGAGTGGCACGTTGAGAAGGGTGCCTAGCTCACTTAGCGCGGATGCCTAGCTCGACAACCTCCAACGTGAGCGTCTCCCGTTACTAGCCATCTATGTGGCGTCTCCTCGCATCAGCTAGCCGTGCCTCTAGGGTACACTACGCCTGCGTCACCTATGGCGCCCACCATGGTGACTAACACAGCTGCCGGCCTACGAACACGATAGGTAATGCGCATATAAGTCGGACTAGACTCAACGTAAGTCGTGGTGCCATCCATGCCCACCGCGCCATACAGAGATAATTTAAACAACAGGAGCTACTCTATGGGGTAGGCACACTGTGAAGGTGATCTCTGCGTTCCTTAGTCGTTTGCTTGTGTTCTCTCTACGCGTTTATTCACGGAGAAAAGTTCACAACAATGGTTCAGAGTGATAGCAACTACAATGGTAAATTTTTTATCAGATGCTGCGCAGTACGGTCGACCGCATTCCATCACGACATGGTCGACCGCGTTCCAGCAAAGCAAAGTGGGGGTTTGCCGATGCTGCAGGTCAACAGCATGCCAGCGCTGCAGGTCAACAGCGTGCTAACGCTGCAGCTAGGCGGCTGCATAGCATTGCACCCGCAGGACAGAATTGCACACGCTTCGCAGATGCTCATAGCTGGTTGGCATGCTGTGCCTCGTCACCTGCACAGCACCGACTCCACATCATCCACGTACTGTTGACCTTCTAATTAGACACGTTGACCTCGGAATACCACCACCGAGGTCGGCCTTGCCAAAACCACATGGGTGGGTGACTGTCGCACTCCTCCGCAGGACCCCGTCTCTCAAGAAACCACATCGACCAGCTCTATTTTTTTTTGTGCGCGTTGATTACCCAGGTTGAGGGCCACCATTGGTTGACCACACCGGTTTGACTACATCCCTGGTCGACCAGCTCCAGATCGACCACACTCCTAGTCGACTAACTCCAGGTCGACAAGCATAGCTGTCAGCCGACCACACACAGTCAACTTCCCCATGTCGGCGTCACTAAGTCGGCTCGAAGTCGGCTGCTGGCACCCCAAAGTTGGCGGCTTCGCAGTGGCCCCGTGCAGGTCGACCAACCCGTCGACCAGCTTGCTGCAGTTCAGCTGCACCTTCCGCACACCCGACCACGAAATCGTCTTTGCCCAAGCAAAGACGGTGCCAACACAGAACTCCGATTGACATGTGGCGCCGACTACGAGCTGGTGAACAGCTATGTCATGCTAAGGATCTTCCTCAGCATTGTCACCGTCTTCGACCTTAAGCTGATGCAGCTGGACATGAAGAACGCCTTTTTGCAGAGCAAGCTGGACCAAGTGTTGTACATGTACCACTGGAATACTGTAACTACGGGATCAGCTGGGTGTACAAGGTGTTGAAGAGTCAGTAAAGGCTGAAGCAGTCGCCGCTGCTATGGTACAAGGGGCTTAATAACGTGCTGGTCAGTGCCGGCTGGAAGAAGAGACAGGTTGACAAGGCTCTCTACTTCAACTTCGGCGACGACGAAGTGGCCTACTGGGTGCTGGTCCACGTCAAAGACCTGCTCGCCGCAAGCAGCAGCACTGCGATGCTGAAGGAGCTGAAGGAGCTGTTGGATGCCGCCTTTAAGCTCCGCGAGATTCTGTGGTGGAGAAGTACCTTGGGCTGGAGATTGTGCGCAATAGGCCGGCGAAGAGTGTGTAACTGCACTAGCAGACTTACGCCGCCAAGCTGCGCAGGTGGTTCATCGTCGAGGAGCAGACCGGCCATACCTTGAAAACGCCGGTCTCCGTCGACTCCTACGCCGAGCTGACGTTAAACGACGAGTAGGCACAGGAGCGCCAGAAGGATTAGTACCGGCAGAAGGTTGGCTCTCTGCGGTTCGTGCCCGGCGACGACGACGAGGCTGGACATCGCCTTCACCTGCAGCAAGCTGGGCAGCAGCCTCATGGTGAGGAGCGACCAGCACTGGGGCGAGGTCGACCGTTACCTCGCTTACCCTGCCAACACTCATGACACTCCTGGAGTGCGGCGGTAGACCAGAGACACTCGAGATGGTCGGCTACGAGGATCTCGACGACGCCGGCAACAAGCAGAACCAGGCAAGCACGGGTGGCTACAAGATTGTCTACGGAAGGGCCGCAGGCTCTTGGTCGAGTCAGCGCATCAAGTGCGCGACGCTGTCGTCGACTGAGTCGGAGTACGTTGCGGCCACAGAGGCCAGCAAAGAGAGACGATATCTTCGCTTCCTCGGCTCCTGGACGTTGGGATGCCGACCGTCCTTCAAGTGGATAACACGGTTGCCGTAGGGCAACCTGAAGGACATGGAGCGGCGTTATGCCTGGCTGCAGCACATGGTGAAGCACAGGAAGTTCACACTAAATTGCACCCCGACCACTGAGCAGTCGGACGACTTCCAGACGAAGGCGCTGCACAATCCGGCCTTTTACTAATTCTTCATTGCAATCAGCCAAGTGCGCCTGGCCGACGTTGGCAACGATGACGACGAAGTGCAGCAGTAGGCGCCATGCCCTTTTGCATTGCTGGGCGATGACCGAAGTGCTGTGTACTGTATGAGATCCCCAATTGATCCTAGGGAAGGGTTACAGGCACGTCGGCCTGGGGGGTCATGGGCGCACTCATCCGCAACACAATGGTTAGTGGTTGGGATTCTGACTTGGTATAGAGCCTAGAAAGTGATCGAATGGGCCCACCTCCCCTTACCTCGCCCTAGCCCGAAGCGCCCCGTCGCCCGTAGCTCTCCGTAGCCCGGAGCACCACGTCACCTTCCAGTCTTATCCCCTCCCCGTAGGCTCCCCGTCGCGTTCCCCTCCCTGTCGCCTCCCCATCGCGTCGCATTCCCGTCGCCTTCTCGTCGCCTCCCCGCCGTGTCCCCTCCCCGTCACCTCCCCGCCGCGTCCCCTCCCCGTCGCCTCCCCGCCGCGTTCCCTTTCCATCGCCTCCCCGTCGCCTCTCTGTCGCCTCCCCGTCGCGTCGTATTCCCGTGGCCTTCCCTTTGCCTCCCCGTCGCGTCCCATCCCCGTCGCCTTCCCCGTCACCTTCCCCGTCGCCTCCCCCGTTGCCGGCCCTTCCCCTCTCTGTCACGTACCCTCCCCGTTGCATATCGCTTCTTCGTCCCCGGTTCCCGTCGCCTCCCCGTCTCCCTCCCCCCCCCCCATTTTTTTTTCTCGTTGCCTCCCCATCTTCATTTCCCGTCGCCTCCTCGTCCCCTTTTCCCGTCGCCGCATGTCACCTACCGTCGCCAGCCAGTCCCTTCCCCGTCACCAGCCTGTCCCCTCCCCGTCGCCAGCCCGTCCCCTCCCCGTCGCCAGCTGTCCCCTCACCGTCGTCAGCCCGTCCCCATCCCGTCGCCTCCGCCTTTCCTCCACAGCGCTTTCCCGTCGCCGCCGCCCTGTACCCATCGTCAGAACCAGCAGCAGCCTAGGCTGCCACCAGGACCAGCAACAGCTTGGGCTGGCGCCAGAACTAACAACAGCTTCGGTTGCCAGCAGAATCAGCAACAGCTTAGGCTGCTACCAGCAGAACCAGCAGCAGCTTAGGCTGGCCTGAGCAGAACTAGCAACAGTATAGGTTGCCCCCAGAAAAACCAGTAGCAGCCTAGGCTGGCCCCCGCAGAACCAGCAGCAGCATAGGCTGCCCCCAGCAGAACCAGCCTAGGCTGCCCCCAGCAGAATCAGCAGTAGCATAGGCTGCCCCCACCAGAACCAGCCTAGGCTGCCCCCAGCAGAACCAGCAGCAGCATAGGCTGCCCCCAGCAGAACCAGCAGCAGCATAGCCTGCTCCCAGCAGAACCAGCAGCAGCATAGGCTGCCCCCAGCAGAACCAGCAGCAACATAAGCTGTAGCCAGCAATCGCTCCTAGCCGCTCCCTACCGCACTCGGCCGCCTCTAGCGCCTACCATGGCGTGTGCTGAAATCTGCACCAGCAACAGGGTCAGCCGCAGCGACAGCAGCTACAGCACTCCCGATAGTGGGGACCAGAGGGTCCTAGGAGTACGGCACGCAGCAGTGGCTCAGCCATCAGTGGGCGCAACGTTTGTCCCTACAGGTACCGGATCTTGACTGGTCCAGGTGCTCGCAATACCTGCTGGAGTCCTGACTACTCGGCGTCCCGCTGCTACCGTCGCCTCGACGACCTCCACCCTGAGCGTTTTGGTCCTCACGCTATTACACCGCACTGGCCCTCGCGTCTTCACCTGTTGAGTCTCACCTACCTGGTCTAGGACCTTTCCCGGCTGCACGAGTAGAGACCTGTCTTTCCATTCTTGATGCGTGTGTAGTTTCCAGTCCAGGCGCCTCTGAGGGTGTTTGTACAGGAGCTGCAGCTACGACTCGGCTAGCACCAGCCTTTGTCGCTAGCTCAGACGACCTCACAGACTGCACAACTTTCCTTCACCATAGACCCTAGAGCTCCAGAGTCACTGTGCACTCCAGTCACTGTCGCCTTGGCTGACCCCTCCATGGACCTGTAGTTGCCCACAGCACCACCACTCTCCCGTGTCTGGCAGCTCCCTCTAGGTTTCTCACATGCTACACCGCATCGTTCTCCAGAAACATGGTGGGTGTCAGTCACCTCCGCGACCTAGGTGTAGTCACTACTTTCCCTCTGGACGAGCCTGTTGCCTCCTACACAGTCGGTGCTACCGAGGCCCCACTGGCCATTTTTCGCAGGGAGCCGGATCCTGGACTGTACTCACTACACACAGGGTCCCACCACACAAGTTCAGGCCAGGTCAGGTCACGTCAGGTAGCTGCTGTGTCGTGCAACTGTCGGTCACTTACCCACCCGTTAGTCCTCTGGCACCACTGTCTAGGTCGCCTGTCGTCCCCACATCGCAGTAGGATGGTATGTCACGTATGGTCTCAGGTCTCCAAGAGTCGCTTGCCCTGCTTCCTCGCTCGCCTGCGCCGCCGTGCACACCTTGCATCGAGGGTCGGCAGCGCGCTGTCCTCAACGCCCCCTTCCAGACCCTGCACTTGGACGTCTGGGGCCCTTCCCCGGTCGTTGGCCCATGTCAGGAGCGCTACTTCCTGGTTGTCGTGGACGACTACTTCCGCTACACCACGGTTTTCCCCTTGCGATGGAAGGCTGACGTGCATACCGTCCTTGAGCTGTGGCTCCTAGCGAGTGATGAAGCCCAGGGCCTGTGTGGGCTCCGCCTACACTCAGACCGTGCTGGTGAGTTTTCTTCTATTCGCCTGGAGACGTTCTATCAGAGTCGGGGGATCATCCAGTCTTACACGCTACCAGTCTTGCCGTAGCATAACGGGGTAGCCGAGCAATGCATTGGCCTGGTCATGGAGGTTTCCCGGACCTCCATATCCTATGCCGGTGCCCCCCAGTTCTTGTGGCCTCGGGCGGTCCGCTACGTCGCGCACCAGCTGAACCTGTGACCTAGTAACGCGCGGCCACGGGTGATGCCGGCCTCTCTTTGGACAGGTTCTCCGGGAGTAGCAGCATACTACTGCATCTTGGGTTCTATGGCTCACGTTCGTGCCCCTGGTGTGACAAGTTGTTCCCGCATCTTTCTTGGGTTCCCTTTGGACGCCCCTGGCTAGTTGTTCTACGACCTGGTCACCCACCAGTTCTTTGCATCTCGGGGCGTCATGTTCGACGAGTGTGTTTGTTATTACAGGCGTCGCCCCAACCCAGGTACTGAGGTCTTTACCCCACCACTGTTCTTCACCCCACCACTGTTCTTCACCCTTGAGCCTCCCGCAGTCACCCCGGTAGCCCCCACCCCCTTTGCGTCCTGCACCGTAAGGTGTTGTCGCACGTTACTCCATAGTCGTCTCCGTTGGTGTAAGGGCCTAAGGAACTCAACCTTTGAAGACTTAATCAAACTTAATACCTCTCCTCGGGGTCACCTCCAAGGGTCCCTGGGTGCCTGGTACAAGACCAGCCCCTATCTTCGGGTCCGAGTTTGTAGAGAGAGGAGTTAAGAATGACTTAGCCAAAATAACGAGAGTACCTTAAACAGGGCACTGAGTGCCGTGCAGGCCGTTGATCGGAGTAAGCTAAGCATTTGCTATACCGAAAATCGTTCCAAAAGCTTTATAATAAGCCAAGCTGTCTCGCAAAAAGTTCTACATTATGAAGTTATGGCTCGGACAGCGTTTGCCTAGCGTTCAAATGCAGCGTATTAGCGTTGACTCGGATAGCATTTCACTCGGTGTTTGCTCTCAACGCTAATGTCGGTGCACTCAACCTAGTTCGGTGCCCGTTAGCAATGAACCTAGGAAATCAAGCAAAAGCAAGCAAAGAAAAATAAAGAAAAGCTAGATGATGCATAATAAAGCATATTTAAGCAAGTAAAGTCCAACAAAGCCGTCGTACTGTCACACGTCCCCCCGTCAAATCTGGGTGGCGAGAAAAACACCCTGCTTGACAAGATAATCCTTGAGAGCACGGCGTGTGTTGCCCATATCAGCTTCTGCAACCCAACTGTCCTTCTAAGGGTCGTATCCCTTCCAGCGTATCAAGAACTCGAGCATGTTGCCGCGTTTGCGTCGATGAGCAAGAACTCTTTCCACCTCGTACTCTGGTTCATCCTGTACGAGAACAGGTGGTGGTGGCGGTAGCTGTCGTCCTATAAACTGGTGGTTGGGGTCCTTCTTGGGCTTCAGCAGCTGAACATGGAAAGCATTGTGAAGCTTCCATGTAGTAGGTAAGCGCAAGCGGAATGTTACTGGTGTCACCATCGCCTCAACGCGAAAGGGACCACAGAAGCAAGGCCGGAGCTTGGACGGTAGGTGGGACAAGTTTTTAAGTTGCGTGTGTCAAGAAGACTTGATCTCCAACTGCTACTGTTTCTGGGAGTTTTGCATCGTGATGAGATGTTGCTGAGTCTTCTCCCATAGCTGCTGCATGGTGGTGACGAAGTCGTGTGCGGCTTGGACGTGTGCCGGTGTGGTTGGCTGCTGTGGTGTAAGTGGTTCCCGTCCGCACTGGAAGAAAAGTGATTTTCCTGTAACCGCATGTGAATTGTTGTTGTTGTTGTTGTCGTCGTCTTTGCAAGCTGTGCGCAGTAACTGATCAACCACATGATTGAGTCGCTCTATCTGTTCGTCCGTCAGTCTGGGGGTGGTATGCTGAAGACATCGCAAGCTTTGTCCCCAACAACCACATCAGTTCCCTCCAGAACTTACTCGTATATTTTGGATCTCTGTCTGAGAAGAGTTTAGCGGGGATACCGTGGATGGTGATGGTGCAGTTGAAGAAGAGCAGTTGCTTCAGCAGTAGCCGTTGCGTTTGTCGGGATGAAGTGTCCCATCTTAGAGAACTTGTCGATCACCACGAGTATAGCGACATGCCCTCATGAGGTCGAAAAGACCAGTGATGAAGTCTATGCTAACTGTCAGAATCACTAGGCAAGAATGATGAACTAGCAGAAGTTTGGGTACAAATATGAAACCCTAGTTGGGGTTGTACCCCATATTGGCTACCCCACTACAGCCTACAAGCATACTACAGTTTAACACACCCCCATAGGCAAAGTGGGGGAGAACAAAGGGTCACAAGACCAGTCCAGCAAAGCAAAGCAACGCCCAGGGTGGATCACAACGTCACCACACTCCGAGCACAAGTAAAGGCCACAAGGCCAGTTCACATGCAGTGCTAGATATAGTACAAGACAAGCAACACAGTGATCAAAACCTAGCAAGCAAGCAACAAGATATATATAAAGTACAGTACAAAGAATGTCAAGCAGTGAGCAAGTGAGGAAACGTGGACACAAGGCCTAAAGAAGTACAGTGCCGCTGATGATCACTAGGCGGGAGCGCCTTGGTGAAGATATCAGCAGTGTTGGCCTTCGAGTCCACGTACACAAGCCGAAGCTGACCGCGCTGCTGAAGCTCTCGAGCAAGAAAGTAGCGAAGAGCAATGTGCTTCGTCCTGTGCTCCAGTCTGTGCTCCTGACACAAGGCAAGAGCCGCCTTGTTGTCACCGTACAGAACTGGAGGAGAACTAGGCCGCTCTCCCAAGTCAGTCAGCAGGTAGGTGAGCCAGCGTAACTCCTGTGCAGCCATGGCTGTGGCGTAGATCTCAGCCTCACAACTAGAGCCGAGAACAGAGGAAGAGCGGGTGGACCGCCACGAGACAGAACCTGAGCCAAGGCTGAAGGTGTAACCCTGTGACGACCGCTGCGTAGCCAGGTCGTCCACCCAAGAGGCGTCCGAGTGACCAGTGAGGACAACTCTGTCGCGTCCTCCAAGCACCAGCCCCATGCCTGATGTACTGCACAGGTAACGCAGCACCCTCTTAGCAGCCTCCCAGTGCTCTCGCCTGTGTCTCCCAGGTGCAACGTAACGAGCAAGGATGCTAAGAGGGTACGCGAGGTCAGGTCGCGTGCAAGTCATCAGGTACATGAGGCAGCCTACAAGCTCTGGGTACGGGCCACTCGGCTCTACGGACTCGTCCGAAGGTGGAGCTGAGAGCGAGTGGCTGGTAGCCAGAGGTGTGGCCTGTGGTGAGGAGAACTGGAAGCCGAAGCGCTGAAGGACCTGCTGCACCATGTGTGACTGAGTCAGGGTGATGGTGCGACGGGCTCTGTCCCGGGTGATCTGCAAGCCAAGGTAGCTACGCAGTTCACCCAGGTCAGTGCAGGTGTGTCTCTTCTGCAGCTCCGACTTCACACGAGCGAGTGCCTCAGTGTCAGCAGTAGCAAAGACCAAGTCGTCGACGTACACGAGGATGTAGAACGGCGGCAGCGACGTGTCTGTGCGCAGAAACAGCGACGGGTCAGCAGTAGACGGCGCGAACCCAAGAGCCGCAAGAGTAGTCCTCAGTGTGTCGTGCCACTCACGTGGCGCCTGGCGGAGACCGTAGACTGGCCGGCGGAGACTCCACTGGGTACCAGGGGGAAACGACCCAGTAAAGCCAGGTGGGCGGCGCAGCCAGATCTCCTCGTGGAGGCTGCCCTGCAGGAACGCTGTGCTGAAGTCAAGAGAGTGAAGCTCGTAGTCACGCTGAGCAGCAACGTGCAGCAGAACCCGAAGAGTGGTCATCTTCGGGGTGGGGGAGAAGGTCTGGAAGAAGTCGACCCCCTGACGCTGACTGAAGCCTCTAGCAACGTAACGAGCCTTGAAGACAGGCGGAGAACCTGGCGGCCGCTTCACCCTGAAAATCCACATGCCATCGACGATGTTCGCCCCAGGAGGGGGAACCTCGTCGACGTAGGTGCCTGTGGACTTCCAGGATGCCATCTCTGCGTCCATGGCTGTCTGCCACTGAGAGGAGTAGGGACCCGAGATCGCCTCTGCGTAGGTGCGCGGAGTGGGGATGTCTAGTGCATCCGGGTCTCCCTCAGGGGCAAGCAACCAGGCCACGAGATGAGGTACAGCAGCCGCAAGTGAGTCAAAGTCCTCCTGCCTGTCCTCAAGGACGTCTGTGCCAAGAGCACACTCACCCCCGACGGACGGAGGACAGACAGACGCAGACTCTGACTCAGCGACAAGGCTAGCAGCGTAGTCTAGACGACAGGCAGCAGCAAAGTCAACCAACTCAGCGACCAGAGCAGACGCAGCCGAGGACTCAAAGGTAGGGTCAGTGACAACAGTAGCGAGGAGACGCGTGACTGTAGGGTGCTCAGCGCGATACCGGTCAGACTCAGGGTCCGGAACGGCAGGCAAAGAGGACGCAGGAGGAGACGGTAGAGGGACACGCCGAGGAGCAGTAGAGGGACGCAGAGTCATGTAGTGAGTGCCTGGGACAGGAGGAGGACGCTCACGACGGACACGACGACCAGTGCGAGCAGGACGAACAGGCGACGCAGGACGAGACTCAGGCTCACGACGCTCTGTAAGACCTCCTGTGGGACCAGTATAAGGAGAGGGAGCAGGGAGAGGCGAGGCAGGTGGTAACTGTGACTGCGGCTGGACAGGCGGAGGACACTCTACGGAGGGAGGAGGACAAGGAGGAGGAGCCTGCCCAAGAACCTGCTGAAGGAGCGGTACGAAGTACGGTCGCGGCCGCGCAGCGTCTCTAGAAGCAGAAGGGACTCCAGCGGCCGGGTCCTCAGCACCAGTAGGAGCTCCAGCGTCCGGGTCCACAGCACCAGCAGCAGCTCCACCGGCCGGGTCCCCAGCTCCAGCAGCAGCTCCACCGTCCGACTCCTCAGTACCAGCAGCAGCTCCACCAGGTGGGTCCGCAGCACCAGCAGCAGCGCCACCCCCAGAGTCGGGAGCTCCAACTCCGCTAGCACCGCCAACGCCAGAGTCCCCAGCTCCAGCAGCTCCAGTCGCAGCGCTCCCAGAACAGCCAGTCCCGGCAGCTCCAGTACCCCCAGTACGAGCACCCCCAGGACGAGCAACTCCAGCACCCCCAACTCCAGCCGAGCCACTAGGACGGCGAAAGCGTCGGACGTACCAGTCACGAAGCTGCTGCGGTGTGAGAGACTGCTCAGCACCCCGAACCGGAGCACCCCCAGACACAGTAACCCGAGGCTCCGTAGGCTCAGTAGCAGTACCCCCAGGCTCAGTACCCGCAGGCTCAGCACCCCCAGTCGCAGCACCCCCAGGCGGCAAACTCTCAGGCACAGTACCCTCAGCCCCAGCACCCGCAGTCCCAGCACTCCCAGGCCTCGCACCCGCAGGCTCAGCACCCCCAGGCGCAGCACCCCCAGGCTCCGTACTCTCAGGCACCGTACCCTCAGCTCCAGCACCCTCAGTCCCAGCACCTGCAGCCCCAGCACCCCCAGGCCCAGCACCCCCAGGCTCAGCACCCCCAGGCTCAGCACTCCCAGCAGCACCACCCGCAGCAGCACCTGAGTCACCTGTGACCTCGACAGGCTCAGCGACGGGAGGAGGGTCTACCTGAGAGACACCTGAAGGAGCAGGACCCTGAGGGGGAAGGGGGTCTACCGGAGGGGGACCAGGAGCAAGGAAAAGCGGCGGGGGAGGGAGGGGGGCAGTGCGGTAGGGGAAGAGACGGTAAAAAGGGACCGACTCGTCAAAGGTGACATCCTGAGAGGCGAAGACCCGGCGCGAGGTGGGGTGGTAAAACTGCCAGCCAGGCGCGTCAGGGACAAAGCCAAGGAAGACACAGGGAAGCGTGCGGGAGGAGAGCTTGTCCGCAGACGTATCGCGGACAAGGGCACGAGCACCCCACACCCGGAAGCGCGACGCATCGCCAACCTCCCCCGTCCAACGCAGTGTGGGCGAGGTCTCCGGCAAGGAGACACGGGGCCAGAGGTTGAGCTGATGCGCGGCGTACCGGACAGCAAACGGCCACAGAAAATGGGGAGCCGCCGCGTGGACCAAGGAGGTACGAGCGACCTCCATGACCAGGCCAATGCGACGCTCAGCAACCCCATTCTGCTGTGGGGAGTCCGGAAGCGTGAAGGTCTGCTCGATGCCCTCCGCCTGACAGAAGGTCCTCAAGAGGTCGGAGGAAAACTCACCACCTCTGTCAGAGTGCAGACGCAGGACAGGAAGATCCGTCCGGAAACGGCGGCGGAGCTGGAGACGAACCGTGCGGATCCAAGGGATCAAAACAGCAGGGACCTCACCCTTGGTGCGCAAGGGGAAGACCGTGGTGTAACGCGAGTAGTCGTCGACAACCAGCAAAAAATACCGCTCACCGCCCTGACCACGGACACGGGCTGGGCCCCACACGTCCAGGTGGAGGGTCTCCAGAGGAGCCTCTGTCGGGGGGAACGAGGAGGAGTGAGGAGCGGCGCGCTGCCGCCCCTCGACGCAAGGAAGGCAAGGCGGCGCAGGCGAGGCAGGGAGGGGAGGGAGGGACCTGGGAAGACCGGACACAAGGAGGCGACGGTGCATGCCACGAAGGCGTGGCAAGGAGGGGTGACCCAGGCGGTGGTGCCAGAGAAGAGTCTGGTGCGACAGGGAACGACACTCACAGGCGTGGGCCACCAGACCTGACGCAGACACCTGACCGACAGCAGCTACCTGGGGAGACGCAGTGGTCAGTGTGTAGAGACTCGACCCCGGCCGACGGGTGAACGTAGCCAGGTGACGGCCGGTCCTGGAGCACGTGCAGATCGCCACACGCTGTCCGCCAGGGGTAAAGGTGTCAACCCACTGATCCTGGAGGACAGCGTTGCTCACCAGGTTCGTCGAGAACGAGGGGAGGTGGAAACCCGACAACGAGCCAGACGGAACCGCCGGACAAGGGAGGACAGTGGTGGACTGGGCAAGGACTGGGCCCCCAGAGGGGTCAGCCAAGGAGACTGGGACCGGTGCAGGAAGCGGTGTGAGCTCAGTACTGTCACGAAAGAAGCAACGGGAAGCACCTGAGTCAAGGGTGAAGGTGTGACAGGCCTCAGCCGGTGCGGTACCTGAGAGAGCAGTCTCTGTGGGTGCTGTACCTGAGAGAGCAGACTCGAAACCAGCCGGGACAGCACTGGGGGGAGCAAGTACAGGGGGCACCATACCAGAGAGAGCAGACTCACTAGTACCCAGGGCAGCAGGCTCTATACCTGGGTCAGGCGGCACACACAGGTAACAGTCTCCCTCGGCACTAACAGTCAATGCATACATGGCAGCAATAATAGCATCATAGTCAAGAGCAAAGACATCAACACCAGCCCTCATGAGCTCAGCCCAGCGGGGGCGCTCAACATCCGCACCCATCTCCTCACGCCAAGCGTCGTCAAGGCGGGAGAAGCAGCGGTACGGGGTGTGGAACCTCCCACACGTCTGTCCCTTGCGGTCACCTGTGCGAATGACATAAGAACAGCGGGCACTGGCCCCCGACGTCCCACGCTGAGCAAGCCACTCACGAAGCTGCTGGGTCGTCTGGGGACGCTGCTGCTGCTGGGAGCTCTGGCCAGAGCCAGTGCCTCCACTCCGACCTCCGCCGCCACCACTACCACCGCTCCGACCGCCACCGCCACCACCGCCACCACCGCCACCGCCGCCACCGCCGCCGCCGCCACTACTGCCACTGCTCCCTCCGCCGCCCCCGTCTCCACCACCGACCCCACTCCCACCAGCGCTCCCGCCACCGCTCCCTCCAGCACCGCCTCCCCCCCCACCTCCCCCACCTCCTCCCCCCCCAGCGCCACCACCACCACTTTTGCCCCCCTTGCCCTTGCCGGTGCGGCGCCTCCCACCAGGAGTAGAAGCAGCGCCAACAGACTCAGCACCAAGGAAGTCAACAGCAGCAGCAGCAGCGTAGGAGGGAGCGAGGGGAGAGGGAGAACACCCCTCAAAGATGGGGGTGCGAGGAGCGCCACGAGCAGCACCGACAGCTACAATGCTCTTTTCGGCCGCGAGCAGGTGCTCCTCTAGGAGGGCGACTGTGAGCTCAGTGGGACAGCGAGCAAGGAAGTGGTCTCGAACTGAGCGGAGGGTGTCAGGGAGACGGGTGACTATGAAGTGGAGTGTCCAGTACAGTGGAGGGGGGTTCTTAGCGCAGAACTCGGTGGGAAGGGCGGCACGCAGGCGAGCATCACTAGTGCGAAGGTGGGTGATAAGATCGGCGACTGTAGTAAAGGTGGACAGATCGGGGAACAGGTACGGCAGCATGAGGCGGCTAAGCTCGGCTGTGGCAGGCGAGGAGTAGCGAGCGACGACAGCGTCGTACAGGGCCTTAGCGGATTTGCAGTCGCCAAAATGCTCTAGCTCAGCTAACGGCAGGTGACTGCGAATGGCTAGGCGAGCAGCTGCGTCACGAGTCTGCCAGTGGGAACGAACACTAAGCTCAGCTGTGGCAGGAGGGGCAGGCGCAGCACCAGACGCGTAGTCATAGAGCGACACATGCTCCTTGCTATCGCTCAGGAGAAACAGCTGCAGGTCATCTAGCCAAGCGGTGAAACGCACAGGGCGGCCCTCAGCATCGAACGACAGCACGCGAATGGAAGCCATAGCGACAGTGTGACAGAGTAACGCAAGCTGCCGCAGCAGGGGAAGGCGACTGTGCACGGATAGAGAGCAGCGGGCGAGGCTGGCGCTACGGGCAGGCGGCGCTGCAAGCGGTCAGTGCGACGGGAGGGCGACGCTGCGAGCGGGCAGCGCGGCGGACGGGCCGGGAAGCGGGCAGCGCGGCGGGCAGGCGGCGCTGCAAGCGGGCAGCACGGCGGGCGGGCGACGCTGCGAGGCGGGCGGGCCGCAAAGCGGGCAGCGGGCGGGCGGGCGGGCTGCGAAGCGGGCAGCGGGGCGAGCGGGCTGCGATGCGAGCGGGCCGCGAAGTGGGCAGCGAGCGGGCGGGCGGGCTGCGAAGTGGGCGGGCCGCGAAGCGGGCAGCGGGGCGAGCGGGCTGCGAGGCTGGCGGGCCGCGAAGCGGGCAGCGAGCGAGCGGGCTGCGAAGCGGGCGGGCCGCGGAGCGGGCTGCGAGCGGGCGGCTCGGCGAGGGGCGCGCGAGGGCGCTAGTGAGGGGCGCGCGAGGGCGCTAGTGAGGGGCGCGCGAGGGCGCTAACAAAGGGGCGCGCGAGGGCGCTAACGAAGGGGCGCGCGAGGGCGCTAACGTGGGTGCGCGCGAGGGCGCTAACGAGGGTGCGCGCGAGGGCGCTAACGAGGGCGCACGAGGGCGCTACGAGGCTAGGGCACGGGGTAGCGTGGTAACCGCATGCGAGCGGTGGTGGGCCCTAAAAAAAAACGATCGGTAGGTCCTAGGGACCTCCTGCTCTGAATACCATGTCAGAATCACTAGGCAAGAATGATGAACTAGCAGAAGTTTGGGTACAAATATGAAACCCTAGTTGGGGTTGTACCCCATATTGGCTACCCCACTACAGCCTACAAGCATACTGCAGTTTAACACTAACGACCTGCCATGGCTGCTCCGGTACAGGTACAGGTTGAAGTAATCCTGTTTTTTTCTGCTTGCTACTCTTCATCCGCTGGCACGTGTCGCATGAGGTGATGAACTGCTTGCAGCCATCCGGGGGCAATAGTAAGACTTCGCAATTCCTACTAACGTCTTGTTGCTCCCGAAATGTCCCGCGTATGCCACATCGTGGAACTCCTTTAGTAAGATTTATCGGAGCGGGGCATAGTTCGGTACCCAAACCTATTCTGATCCCTTTCTTACAGCTAGGTCCTTTTGTCACTGTAAGAGCTTCTGTTTCATGCTGTAGCGATCATTGCATCCACGGAGTATCCATGTTGGAATAGACCCTTGAGCAGAGGGTTTGTCTCGTCTGGCTGGATGCCTGCTACGTGACCGGGGCGGCTTAACTCGTCTGCCTTGTTGTGTAGCCCGGGCTTGTAGACGATGTCGTAGTGGAAGTGGGTCTCCAAGAAGTCCACCTACCGCACTGTCGCCGTGAGAGCATTGGCTGCGACTTCAAGTATTTGAGGCTGCAGTGGTCAGTGGAAACTGTAGTCTTGGCTCCCTCTAGGTAACACCTCCACACCTTGAAGGCGTGGACCGTGTTGAAGGAGCTGCACGCCCCTACCTCCGTTTGCAGCGACGCTCATGATGGAGAGGGAGCTGTCCGCGTTGCGCTTGAGCGAGGGAGAGCCGGTACAACCTGTTCTGGACAAGATGCGTGATCTCTACGCGAAGCTGGCGATTGCGGGAATCACCTACCCGGAGCAGACCAAGTGCCTGAAGATGCTCTCGCTGCTGCCGGAATCGTGGCTTCAATTCACGAGCGGATTGAGCCTGCCGCAGAACCAGAGCTTGTGGACGCTCGAGTGGGTGCGGACGAAGATTCTGGAGGAGGACTTCCGTCGCCGCCAACTGAGGGGTGGAGACGACGGCAGCAGCGGCTAATGGATGCAAGGGAGCCAACGTGGCAGAGGACGTGGCTTCGGTGGTGCTGGACGCGGTGCAAAGAAGGACGACGACTCCAACGACCAACAAGGAGGTACCGGTTGGGGTCGCGGTGCGAAATCTGGACGTGGGGGCAAGTCAGGTGCTGGTGGCAAAATGAAAGGGAGTTGCTGGTATTGTGAAGGGAGGGGCACCCCTATTTTTTGTGCTATAAGAAACCCGATGGATGGAACCCCCAGAATCGTCACCAGGATGGCGGCGCGCGGAGGAACCAGAAAAATGGCGCCAACATGGTCGCTGATTCGTCTGACAACAACCCGAAGGGCAACGGCGGTGCGGACAGAAAGGAGCGCTCCGCGGGCCAATTCTTCCATGTGGGAGACAAGGGGGAGCAAGGAGACGCATCTGCCAAGGTTGGAGCAGAGCTGCACCCCCTGGACTTTTGGGTGTTGGACACGGGTGCTGCTTGGACGATGACGCCGCGGAAGGACCTGCTGGACAACGTACGCGCTGCACCAATCAATGAAGTATGCTCCGCCTCTGGACACATGTTGAAGGTGGCTGGTGCGGGACGAGCTGCGTTTAAAGGAGCGGATGGCAAGCCGGTGGTGCTGCACGACGTTCTCCTCGTCCCCGAACTAAAGGCCAACCTTATCTCGCTCCTAAGCTTGGAAGATTGGAAAGATTGGGTGAACACCAACACGGATGGGGCTCGCACTTATAGGGGCAGCTGGGCAATCGGGCTGCTTTGGAACCTGCATGAAAGTAAGGACGTGTACAGATCCATGTGGCAGCTGCCGGCGTTGGCGTGGCACGGTGGGGAGCAGGCTGGACAGGGGTCTGCATCCAGGGGGACTGCAACGCCGTTGGGAGGAGTTGGTGTGAAAGTGTC